TTTTTTGTTTTTAATCTAGAGAATTAACACACACATGCATGAATTCATAAATGATTGTCATAATCAGCAGCTCCTAGCCAGACTGCAGGGTTCTCCCGGGCTACTACAGAGTTGTTATACAAACACTCATAAATCCACCCAGAATTAAATAAACCTGTCAGACAGTTCATTACAGTAATTATTTTAATTTTTTGTTGACAATTTAATGATAAAGCAACAGAAAAGAGAGAAAGAGAAAAATGAATAAAAGAGAGAAAAAGAGTGTAAGCTGTTTTTAGAAGACGTGCCATGCCACATTTGCAGCTGAGTGCCCGTCACCTATTCAGCTGACAGAACACTTTGTTTCACCAGTGGCATAGCCCACAGTGTCATGAGCTTTAACAAAAAAATAAATAAATAAAAATACAACCTTCAAACTTATTCATGCAAAAAAGCACACATGGGAACCAAATGAAATTCATATTGATAATTTACAAGTGTGGGCATTAAAAAAAACAATATTTAACAGAAATAAATCTCAATATGCATACACTTACAATAAATATTTTAAAGAGTTGTTTTTGTCTATAAAAACAAACTTTTCCCCCACAAATTTGTCTTTTAATTATGAAAGTGTAGCAACAAGGATTAAGATGTTTGTTTTCAAATGTTTATGCAAAATGTTCCCTAATAAATGTTAACAAGGAATTGATTAAAATGTTTTTGGATAAATATTACTTCTTTACATTGTAGAAAAAAAAATCCACTGTCACTACACATTTCCATCCATCCATTATACTCAACAATAAATATCACCCATGCTCGCAGACATTCACATCCGCTCTTTTTATAAGTGGTATTTAACTTGCATTCTCTATTGCAGATCTTTCAGGAATACAACATAAAAGAGGATTCACACAAACACAAAACAACTATGTTATAAAACAACAAGCCATTATCCATAGCTCCCAAAAGATACTGAACAATTACTGCGGAAAAATAAAATTGCCTTTTATAGTAACTGCAAGAAGAAAAACGATCACTCTCTAAATCAACTAATTTTAGAACTAATAGTTAGTTAGTTAGTCAGTCAGTCAGAGTTAGTTGAATTTTTTTCGATCCCTGCCTATGTCTTTCCACATGCTTCGATCCATCACGGACAATTTCATTTCAGGGACGGAGAGTCCTGTATAAGCCTTCAGCCTGTTGATGTAGGATGTTGCTGGTCATCCTCTTCCTTTGTGACCATGAGCTGGTTCCCAGAATAAAACACAACTGACACATTCCTTCTTGGTTCTGTAACAATGGCCAGCGAAATGAAGTTGTCTGATTTGAATCACCTCTGAGAGGTCACTTGTTTTTCAGTTTATCTTGCTATAGGTCATTTCTAAGAAGAAAGTAAAACCCATTTAATCTATTTTGTTGTGTTTCAGGGAATGACTGTGTCTCTACAGGAAAACACTTCCAACTGTTTTGTTAAAGAGCTTTACTTTTAGTTTCCTTGAGAGTGACAAAAGCAACATTTTGTTGGGTTTGATAATTGTTGACCAATCCTGAGCTATTCTGACACTTAGTTCCTTCTCAGTGGAGGATAGCCATGCTCCGATATATCTGAAATTGTTCATCTGTTTAATCAGGTCTCGTGTGTGCACTCAGTTTCCCAGAAGTATTGTGCACCATTAATTCTGACAGGTTCTTCTGATAGGCATTCCCAGAAAACTCTTTGACAACTCAGCTCATTTCCTTACCTGAGTATCCAAAACATGTGGGTGCAGATTAAATGACACAACTACATAGCCTATCATCGATCTGCATGGTGTTATGTGCACTTATGGACACCTGTATGTTCAAACATGGTGTTAGTGGTGGAGAAATCATGCTTAACATGGAAGTCTAACAACCAAATATCGCATGGGTTCAGATCAGAGAGGCCATTCTTCCAATCAAGCCCCTCCTGGTCATACTGTATGATGCATGGGCACTGAAGTCTCTCAGCAAAATAAAGGAGTCCCCATTTGGAGCACCACCCAACACCACAGCTAAGGTCTCCTAGAAGGCTGGGAAGGCTGCCTGCCCAACCACCCAAGGTGTATGGAATCTACCCTCTCATTTACTGGGGAAAACTCCAAGCCAGCAGGGATATAAGTAGACCTATATACAGTATGTCTGGTGCCTCTCATCATAGGCAACTCCAGAATGGAATAATGTTCAGTCCCTCCTAAGGATATTCGTTCCAGAGCACATGTTGTTCAACAAGGTGAGCCCGACTATATCTAGTCTGTCCCTCTTAATCCCACACACAAGCTCAAGCTCCCATTCCTTCCTCACTAGAGAAGTGACATCCATGTTCCAAGAGCCAGTTTTGGTAAGCCAAGTCTAAAACCATGGCCCCTGCCTTTGGATACTGCCCATGGTACCATGCATCTGACTTGATTTGTATGACCCTTCCTGCAGGTGGTGGGCGCATAGGAAAGCAAACCCATGCAAATGATCTAGGCTGAGCCCCACCAGGCTGCGTGGGTAAAAGCCCTGTCACTAGGTGTTTATTCCCCAAGCTTGGCTCCAGAGAGTGGGGCTCCAACAACGAATATCCGAGCAAGAATCAAGCTCCTTGTTGTCATCTATTCATATGAGGATTTTTTTTTCATCTTTTAATGATACTGTATTATGATGTTTATGAATTCTTCATTCCTGGATTTGAAAACTGATTTTAATTAACTGAAAGTGTTCATTTTGACCTGAGCAGTATTGCATTGGTTAGCACTGTCACTTCACAACAAGAAAACCTCTGGATCAAATCTTAGTCAAGGTTTTTCTTCATGAACTTCATGTCTTCTCTTTGCATGTGCTTATCGACCCCCCCCACCACCCCCACCCCACCCCCAATTCCATTTTCCACAGTCAAAAAAATTAAATCCATCCTATATCCATCTTACGTTTTTCCATGCTTCTGAACTGACCTTGGTGACCTTGGGTGTGACTTTTTGTGTCTCTTTTGACCCTGAAAGTAACTGGTTACCCAACAGGATGCACTGCTCTTTTTGACAAGTGGTTACTGGCATAAGCTTTGGTAGTAAAATTGTCTTCCTCTTCCTAAAAATGTATGATTTGTGAGCATTTGTTCAATGGAAGGAAAGACAAAAACTCAAATCCGAAGACTTCAAAAAAACATTCCTTAATGCGCTGATTATTTATCGCTTTTCAAATGTCTTTTACTCTTTTACTATATCTCAATCTTATCATATTCCATTTTCTTCAGTCTTGCTTCCTTATTCTGTCTTTGTCTAGTCTTGCCTTAGTCGTGCAGAGCTCTCTATATGGCCCTAAGCAATTAAGTTTACTTAGCAGATTTCTTCAACCAAAATACACAGTCACTGCATGGTCCCAGTATAGTTGTACCATGGTGGTGGATCAAAACACTGAGCCTATCCCTCATATTTGGCTTGCAATAATTAAATAAACTTTTACCAACATCCATTGATTCACTTTCCACCTCATTTCCCAACCAAAAAGATTATTAAATTCCTGTCCACCATGAAGTCATTACAATCCTAGACAGGGTAAATGCTAAATTTTCATTGTTTATGGTTACATGTAATACTGGTAATAGAAATTACCCTAAACAAAACAGATTAGTTTAGTGTCTTTGCCCAGAAACCTGTAAACAATCCAACCAAATCAATACAAAATACATTTAGTCGTCAGAAGTGTGACTACCTAACATCCAGGGCCACACTGAAGCCATGCTTTCACTCTTTCACAGTGTATTCACTCTTTTGGATGTATTCTGGGAAACAACTGATCTATATTCTACTCAGCTTTCCCTAATATCATCAATCTCCACTTAAGTTAGTTGATAAGAGGGATGTACAAAACACTAATTTGTGTTTTTGGTGTCACAATGTACATTAGATTCAGGCGTCAGATATTTGAGCGTGACTGGAAAATATTAGATCAAATTACCCAGAGCCACCCATACAAAACTCTGTTGGCGTGCTAAAGCTCACAGAAGATTTTATGATTTAAGCTTGTTGATTCTTGCACTATACTGAATGTGGCATTAAGAAGAAAAAATTGCTCTAAGTCAGAGTGCCAGCAGCTCACAGGGAAACCAGACTTCTTTTTTTTTCTTCTTCTTCTTTTTTTGGATGGAAATGTACGATTTTTATCAGGTAGTAATGACAAAACATTTCCTGAGCATTTTGGTTTTTAGAAAAAGCAAAACTGTAGGTGGATTTTAGTCATGGATACACTCACATAAATGAGCTTATAATTACCAAATTATAGGTGTATACTGCTGCACCTGGTATTTTGACATTTGACATGATGCTATCAATGCAAGGTAAATTGTTCCCGCGGCTAATTTCTTTATGATTCACGTACACTGATTCTGCTTATGAAAGGAGTAAGATTATTTGTTGCAACGAAGTTTATTTATTTTTAATGTGTGTTTAAGCTCTTATACCTTAAATCATCAAAGTTTGCGTAACTTTCACTAAGGGACTGGAGTTTTCTTTTAGAAAATGGCATCTCTTCTGTGAAACATTTGCTCACAAAGTAAAATATATATATATATATATACATTGAGTTGTATTAATTGTGAAAAATAAGCATTAAATGTAAGAATTTTGATTAAAAGGGTGATTAATAGGTGCAAGCAGGGCGAAGGATGTTTTCCATATAGCTGTAAGTTTTAGATGCGTAAAGGGACAAAGGTAGTCTTTTTTTTTTTTTTTTTTGCAAGTGTGAAGATGGCAGCATTC